CAAAATTTCTGAATTATCCCAATTTCATCATCCGTGCTTCCCAGTGACCTGATCTCCTGCAAGTAAGTGAAGTTCTTCCACAGCCGTGATTAACTCTGGCCACCGCTGCAGGCAGCTGTGTAGCCAGCTGAGGTGGCAGTTAATCCAAGTGCTTGATGCGATGTGCGATCCCTGCTGCTATCGGGCGGGATGCTGCATCCTCCGGAGCCAGCAAGGACACCGACTTCACTCGGAACAACACAGGATTATGCCAGTCAGCTGCCCCAGTACAGAGAGGGCTTTTAGGATCCTATCTTTTGTTCGAGTATTCCCTGAGCAGAGATAGTGTTATTTGACATGAGATACAATTTAGCAAATCATGGATACTCCTAAAGATTTTTAATTACTTCAGCACATCTAGAAACAGAAGTAAAAATAAAAAAAAAAAAAAAAGGATGATGCAAACGTCAGATGACGGAAATAAATCTGCTGGTAGGGAGCTATAACGTGGGTCACTGTAAAATCCAGCCATCCTTTTCCTTTGGTTTACGCTGCACACATTTAACACACTGTATTTAAGTGTTATATTTGTACACACCACCAAACTTTTACGTAAACGGGACTTCTTTTTGCATTCCCTGGCACAGGAAGAATCTCATTTTCTAGTCACAGGGAAACATTTTACAGTCTTTCCCAAACCTTCCACGGAAGAAAATGAGAGATTTACTCGACAAACAGAAGCGAGTTGAAATAAAAGTAGAGAGGCAAGTCTCTGCTGTGCGCGGGTATCTGAGCGCTCCTCGGTTCCTTTCGGAATTGCTCTCTACGCGTGCGTGTGGGCATGTGCAACATTTGGCATCAGCTTTTAAAATCGGTAAAATACTAACGTACCAGTGAGGTCAGCAAAGACATGACACTTGACAGTACAGAAGGATCTTCCATATTTTAATATAACGCCTTTTTTAAAAGCCTGCAAGAATCGTATGCGGACTTGGCATCTAAGATACACCTCTAATTGGAAATCAAATTAGTAACATTAACCTCTATAAGCATACCTAACGCTCTGCTGTAGCTACTGGGGATTGAAATGCCATTTTCCCTCATAGTACAGAAATCCAGGTAAATAAGCTTAATTACTCATGCAAGGAACATTCTCCTCCACTCATGTTTTTTGGTTGAAAAAAACCCAACAAACTAAACTTGCTGCATAATATTATTTTTTTTGCCACTGCAACTTCTACACTGAAATCTGTAGTTTCACTATAAGAAAGTCGAAGTAAAAGATGAATTATAGCTTTGTATTTAACCAGAAGTTCATTAATATATGGCAAATTCTTTTAATACGAAATTCCAACCTTTTTTTTTTTTTAAACTCCTAGGCAATTATTTTAGTATTAAAAGGATAAAAAGTAGTTGCACTCAGAAGTTTGATATTACACTAAGACTTTTCGTAAATATTTAGTTCTTATGCTTTCTCTCACAAATCCGTGTAGCCTACCCTTGGACTAGCTGTAAAGCATAAGGAAAAAAAGAGTTCGACTAACATTTCTGTATCAACAACAGTTACTTTCGGGTGACTGATACAGAGTTACTAGACCCCTAAAAGCTATTATTTTTTAATAGTAGAGTGTTTACCAAAACTGCATTTATTAATAGGGAACAGTCAATACAATGTATGGAAAACATCAGGCATGCATAAAACCTGATACATAAAGCACAGCATATAAATTTAGACAAAGGGAACAAAAATGCTGTAAATCCTTACTCAAAACAGTATTCATAATGACCTCGGTGGCTTACTGTCAAAAATAAAGATTGCAAGATTAGACTGGTAACATATGTTTCGTGTATTTTCTGCATAAAATACATACACACTTCTGTTTAGTTCTCTCTGTAAATCTGTTGTCCACAGTATACAACTGTACATTTGAACGTAAACAGATCAATACACATATTTCAGACACGCTATATGTGTGGTAGTTTTTAAAAAATAAATATTTTAATCATTGTCTTGTTGTAGCAGGATCTACATCAAGTCTTGCTTGCACATTCAGTAACTGTAATGAAAACAGGATTCTGCATCTGACAGTGAGAACCTGAACTACTCAGTAACCTTTTGGTGTTACAAGGATGCCTCAAGTACAGGCATAATCTGTGGTTTGAAGAGAACTGCAGAGAATCTTAAAGTACTTCAACGCTGTTTACTTGTTTTACTTCAGTCAAATGATTTCCATGTACACAGCAAAAGCGAGAAAAGCTGTCGCAGTTACCCTGCGCCCCGCCGTCACGTTACTGCAATAGCTACCTGAATGAACGTGGCCAGCAAAACGCAACTCATCTCCTGCTCCAGGATGATCTTGTTCTGAGGGTTATTGTAACAAGCAGCTATTAGCGAAGGGAAGAGCACTTTGATTAAACGAGGATCACTGAAATACTGGAAAGGCAACTGGCATAGTTTTTGCAGCACCGTGGGGTGACGGCCAGATTGTACAATGACCTGAAAATACAAACGTAACAAAATTAAAACACGTGATCTATCTGTTCTTCTCTTCCTGTAAACCACCAAGGGTGTTGAAGTCATGCTAAAAAAATGAGCATGGCTGAGGAGCGAATGCTAAAAATAAAGCCTGAAACATTTAGTCCCAATAACTTCCGTTTTAGCGTGCAAGTATTATTTTCACTGGAGAGGAACACCAAGAATGTAAGGTTGTGAAACTTCTTTTTCCTGTATCACCCAAAAAGACAGTAAGTAAATGACAAGTGGATTAATCTGAAGATTACAATAAAATGATCATATAATACCTTCCTTCAAAGACAAAAGAATTATAGCAACGAGACTACTGTAAGTTAGAGCGACGAAACAAACAAAAAAAAACCACCTCTGCCATTTAAACACAGTAAGTATGTCTTTGAGGGGAAAAAAAAAAATCAAGAAAGATCACCAGGACTGTAAAAACCCACCCAAAGCTCGATCACCCTTCACTAGAGTGCTCTCTGGCAATCAGAAAGGACTCTGTTTCATGGTAGATGTCTGCCACGCATTCTCAGGCACCAAAAAGAAAAGGTGATTGTAAGCTGCACAGCAAGGAGTTTCAGTAAGTAGAGACTCAGAAAGATCCTCCCATCTGTATTTCTTATCTCAGTTTCTATCAGTGCCATTGACTCTAAAAGGAGAATTGTTTAGATAAATGGGACTGTTGTCATGAAGCAGGCTAAGTTTACAACTGTGTACATCTGAAGAAATAAGGCGATGCTGTTACTGGTCTCCTGCAAAGGAACCTTTCCAATTTACTTGATATTCTTATAAAGTCTTTGTGATAAACTGAAAAATGCCAAAATCGGATCTGTTCCAAGTAACCTTGATTAGACAATTATAATATGAAAGAGCTGTTTGACCCAAAGTTGGCTTTTCAGCATAGGAGGAAGCTCCTATAAGGTTAGAACACTGTAAAACTTAAGGTCACGACTGTAAATTGTACTTGGAAAAACACAATTTTACAGGTACACACCCAGACAAGTCTGCATTCAAATTAAAACCAGAAGGACAGAAAGAAGCAGTTGAGACCACAGGAACATAAATTACAGGGATTTACAAGTTTTCAAAGCACTTTTAACAATACCTTCAGAGCACACTCTCAGTTGATAATGCAGTTCAGTTTAAAAACAAGATCAACAAAGTAATAGTTTGCATTTTTTTTCAGTTTAACAGCCAAAAAGACATTGAAAACCTTTCAAAATACTAGTAGAAATGTCTTAATGCCCTTAAAGACAGGAGGAATTTTTAAAAGACAGCCAAATACATGACAGCTAAGAATACATTCAGACACTGTTTTGAGGGAAGCATTACGGAAGCATTCGGATGATTCTAAACTTAACTATCAGCTACCACTCCGTAAGCAAGAGGGTGCCTTTCGAGTTTGTGATTACTGTTTGAATATTAAATTAACTGGAGTGGCTATTACATAAATCTGTGTTTTCCATGGTAAATTCTACAATCAGAAAAGTACTCAAAATCAATTGTAACTGTACTACAATAACTACAATTGGTATTTCTGATCCAGGACATGACAACAGAACTCTTGATTTCTTTTTAATGGCTACTGTACACTTGATGATCAGGCAGAGGAAAAGAAGTTTTGGGGATTTTTCATTTTTCATTTCACACTTCACTGCCTTTACCTGTTCTAAAAATGCCATGGATAATTAGTAAAGTCTTGCCAAACTAACAGTGTAGATACCCAAACAGCTTTCATGGAATTATTATTTCATTATCTTTTTCTTTTCAACATTTTTATTAATACAGTGTTATCAACATCAAAGATAGGAAGGTATATAAAAGTGCTGCTGATTGTTTTAATCTGTACTTATCACATATGGAATCAATTTAATGATTTCAGCTCATTGTACTAATGCAGTTACTAAACCTGATACACTGTATTATGTACACTGAAAAAGAAAATCATGAGTCATCCCTTACTGGAAAAAAACCCAAAGAAATAAACCTCTCGCAGAGAACATATTCCTTGTTTCACTGTCAACTGGTGGAGAAAGCGAAGTCCAGCACTTGACTTAGCAGATGAACAACAAAGGAAAACTAAAACCTTGCCTATAACTTCTTTACAGTGGAAGAAGTCTTCTCTTGCCTTTTTTTTTAATTTGGTGTTTTGTTTTGGTTTTTTTTAAACAGTCACTTAGCTGAATGATTCCAGTTTTGCAGCCCTGAAATACTCATACACAAAATGCTCTAACACGAGATACTAACTCCTTACTGAAATCCAGCCCAGAAAGCTTGCTCTTCCTCCTGCCACGTACTGTAATCCAGACACATTTACCTAGAATTTTAGCTTTCTCTTCGCCTTCTCTCCAGCCTGAAAGTCAGATATGCCTGTCAAATGTAACAAGATCCTAATTAAATCACTGCCATTTCTGTACAGTCAAGCACTTAAGCACCTGCTTAACTTCAGATATGCACCCAGGTTCCATTAATATTTGCTTGTGGTTTGCTTTTTCTGAATTGAGACCTATCAAATTAGTGCAAACGACATTTATTTTTATTTTTTATCCAGAGCAGGCAACTCAAAGCATTAATGCTTTCTATGTGAAACACTGGCACAGGTTGCCCAGAGAAACTGTGGCTGCCCCATCCCTGGAAGTGTTCAAGGCCAGGTTGGATGAGGCTTTGAGCAACCTGGTCTAGTGGAAGGTGTCCACTAGAGGCTGGAGCATCTTAAATCCCTTACTGTGCTAAACTGAAGCAACATCTACACCATACAAGCCAACAGTTAGCACGGCTGCACAATATATGTATTACTGCGTTATTGTTTACTTTCAACCTTTGGTAAATTCACCTTTAAGAATACAACTTTCCCTGCCTGGTGTCTGTCTGAATTTCCAGCTTTCCTATAGCACTTAACGCTGCGCCTCCTGAATCCACACTAGCTGACTGTCCAGCATGAGGACTCGTGTGATGATCTGTGAAAACTTCTTACTGAGCAACACCTTTCAAGGTTGCCTATTAGTTATCTTCTGTCACTCCCACCAGTTTATAGCCTTCTGCAGGTCCTGCTACTTTGCTTAATCTCCAATAGCCAGAGGGTCAGGCACTCTCTTCTGCCCTACCAGGCAATCCATGCTCCCGTATGACTCTTTGGAAAGCGCACTCTGCCAGTGCAATAACCCTCCTGATCCACTGTATTGGTATTTCTGAAGTTTATTTCTCAGGAAAGCATGATTCATGATTACTAACGTCTAGAGATGGAATCAATTTTTTCCTCAAGTTTACTTGGGCCAATATTCACGATATAGTATATTGCTGGGCCGTTTGCTGCAATTCTTCTAGCTGTGAAAGTCTGGAGCAGTATAAAAGTCAGTCTTTCAAAACAGACTACAATGACAAAAGCCAGCAATATGCCACACAGCACTTGAGCCATAAAAAAGGACAATCAATCAAAAAAATTAAAAGCTCCTCGTGGTATGGAACAGTAATAAAGTTGTGAGGGGAACTCATCATTTTGCTGGGAGATAAGGCTTTCCCTGTCACTTAGGTAGGGCATCTGGCTACAGACCTGAGGTGACTGCTGGAAGAACATTTCATCCTGGGTTCTGCAGTTCCTCCTTGTATTCCCACCAGGATAGCTCCAGCAGCCTTCCTCTCCTGCTGCTGCATCCTGGCACCTTGCAAAGCAGATCTTCCCAGGACTGAAGGCCTTTGCTAGGGAACTAACAAACCATATGGACCCAAGTAACTTCGGTACGATTTTCCTCTGGGCAGCAAAGGGAATGTGACAGCTCACGTAATTTTTCTGTGACGCTCCATGGGGCCAAAAATAACTTTCTGATGATCCTGCAGGAATGAGAATCATAAAAGCTCAACTCCTTTCCTTGCTTGCAAGGGCAGGGAGAAAACCACTGGCATACACGGGGCAACCTTCATACAAGAGCTAGCAAGGGAAAGATGTTTTGGCGAACACCTCCTAATTCTATTGACAGACTGTTGATACACATATTTGTCTTTCACTTAATCTTTCCCGATATTCCTTTTGTCATGAATGAACACTACAATTATTTCTAAATGCATACATATGAATTTTTGTCAAATAAAATCTTCATAACTAATAGGATCCAGATCTTTTGAATGATACAGCAATGATACAGAATGTATCGCAGTTAAATGTCAAATCAGAAGTAAAATCTTACCAAGTCAATGGTTAATTTTATAAGAAAACTACAGTATGAAACCTCTAGTCTTTGAAATTGTATCTTCATAATCAGGTAACTGAGTTTATAAGAATGTTTTAAGTAATAAACAGGATTTTCATTGAGAAAATGAAAATGTCAGCCAGAAAACTGAAGAATGACTGTATGTAAAATATTGAATATTAGCCAAATTGAAGTGAACTGATAATCCACATATTTGTATCATTCATATATCCATATGTCCTAATTAGACATGTAATGTAGATGCACGCTACTAATTTTTCAGGAACGAGTAGTTCAATCAAATTGCCTTGTGAAGATTTACCTTTTTTTAACTACGGAGTAGCATTTTTGGTGACAATCTAAATTTCTGTTTCCCAGTTGTAATTGCACACGTTTTACATATCTCAAGCATTTTAAAAAGAGAAAATAATTGAATTTAAAACTTTGCCTGCAACCTTCCAGAGATTTAAAGATTATGATCACAGACTGGTTTTCAACGGTACTATGCATGTATGTTAAATATTTTCAGACATTTTATTGCAAATAACAACAAAAAAAAGGTTCAGTCTCAGACCAAGAACTTTTTCCACTTCTTGTGTACTATGCAAGGTTAGTTCAGGATTACTGCAGAGTGGAAGTGCTGATTTTTAGAGCAATATTTAGTCTAGTTCTACTGATGGATTTGGGTTTTCTTGCTTCACTTGGACATCTGCAGCTCTGGAAAGACATTATTCATGTCAGTTATTTCTGTCCATACATACCATAAAAACACTGGAATTATCTTTCAAAGAGGCTAAT